GGGCGTGTCTCCGAGCCAGGAAAACCCCTCCCTGCCAGAACAGCTCCTCCTCTGGGCTTCCTGCCCCCCCCCGTGATGGACATACCACTCTCCCAGTCGCCTTCAAGCTGTCCCTGCATCCCCCACATTCCCCAGACACTCAGGCGATGGCCCCACCATCGCTGCCTTTCCCCCATCTCCTGAGGACCCCCTGCCTGGCTGGCCCTGCCCTTGGAGGACCCCATCGGCATCTGCATGGCTGCAGTGGTTCATTTCCCACCCCCCCATCAGGTGCATTCTGCATTAGGTTGCCAGCAACACCTTCCAGAAACCACCACTGATGGCATTACTCTGTTGCTCAGAAACCTCCTGGCTGTCTCAATAAGCAGGGCTTCAACACGTGGATGTTATTTGGCCAAAAAAAAAGAGGCAATTAAGTATCCACACTACAACGTGGATAAGCCCCTGAAAATAGAGAACAGCCGGTCACAAAAGGCCTCTTATTACATGATTCCATTCACATGAAACGTCCAGTACAGGCAAATCCATGGAGACAGGAAGAGAGTGGAGGCCATCTGCAAAAGGAGATGCGGGTGGGGGGGCAGGTGGCTGCTGGCGTTCCGGGGCTCCTTCAGGGTGTGATGGCCACGCAGTAAGATTGTACTGTGGTCCAAGAGGCACATGAAAAGGTGCACAACATCACTAACCACCAGGGAAATGCAAACCAAAGCCATAAGGAGAGATCCCCTCTCCCCGGTCAGAATGGCCAGCATCACCAAGAGAGAATGTGCTGGCGTGGATGCGGGAGAGGGGGCCCCTCGTGCTCTGCTGGCGGGCATGCAAGCTGGAACAGCCACTCTGAAGAGCAGTGGGCAGGCTCCTCAGAAAGTTAAAAATAGGGGGCGCCCGGGTGGCTCAGTCGGTTAAGTGTCCGACATTGACACAGGTCATGATCTCACAGTTCATGGGTTTGAGCCCCGCATTGGGCTCTGTGCTTACAGTTCAGAGCCTGCGGCTTGCTTCAGATTCTGTAACTCCCTCTCTCTCTGCCCCTCTCCCGCTCTCTTTCTCATCTAAACAATACAGAGCCTGGGTGGCTCAGTCAGGTTGGCCGTCGACCCGGCTCGGAACGATCTGGTCCCGTGAGTTCCGAGCCCTGCGTCGAGGCTCTGGAGCTGACAGCTCTCAGAGCCTGGAGCCTACTTCTGATTCTGTGTCTCCCTCTCTCTCTGACCCTCCCCCGTTCATGCTCTGTCTCTCTCTGTCTCAAAAATAAATAAACGTTAAAAAAAAAAAATTAAAAAAATAAACAATACAAAAATATGTATATTAAAAAAACAACAGTTAAAAACAGAACCACCCTATGACCCAGCAATTGCACTTATGGGTGGTTATCCAAAGAAAATGAAGCCTTAGGGTGCCTGGGTGGCTCAGTTGGTTGGGCGTCTGACTCCGATTTTATAGGTCATGTTCCTAGGGCCACGTGATCGAGCCCCACATTGTGCTCTGCTTAGGGTTCTCTCTCCCTCTCTCTTTCTCTCTCTCTCTGCCTCTGCCCCCCCGCTCCTCCTTTCCTTTTACACTCTCTAAAATTAAAAAAAAAAAAAAATGAAGAAACCTCCCCCTCCCCACGTTCACAGCAGCGTTATTTACAACAGCCAAAGCAGAAACAACAGCATGTCCATCGACAGGTGAGTGGAGAGAGAGACTGTGCTACATACACAATAGAGTATTTTCCAGCCACAGCAGAGAAGGAGAACCTGCCGTGTGTGACAACGTGGATGGGCCTGGAGGGCACCGTGCTGAATTAACTAAGTCAGACAGAGAAAGACGACTACCATAAGATCTCACTTACACACGGAATCTACAAACGAAACAAAAAGGAACTCACAGATACAGAGAACGGACTGGTGCTTGCCAGGGGGTGGGCAAAGCGGGTGAAGGGCGTCAACTAGCTTCCAGTCATAAAATAAGTGAGTCCTGGGGACGCCACGTCGGGCACGGTGACTACAGTTAAGGTTAACCCGATACTGGGTTGCTCATTTGAAAGTTGCTCAGACAGGATCTTAAAACTTCTCACCACAAGGGAAAAAACTTGTAACTACGTGCGATGAGGGTGATGAGGGGTGTGAACCAGACTCTCTGGGGTCATCCTTTCACGATGCATCTGGAACTAAAACAACTGGGACAATTCTATCAGATTCGGCGCTGGCCCCGCCCTGTGAGTACTAACAACCACTCCAGCCCACGTCACAACAGGTGACCTCCGTCTCCTAAAGCTGCTGAAACAGAACCAAAGTTCCTGCCGCCCCGACCTCAGCTGACCTGGGGGTCTCCTCACACAGAGCCCACCGGGAAGGAGCTGCCAACTTCTCGATGCCCCCAGCACAGTCCCCCACCCCACCTGTGGCCGCTGACCACCCCGCCCAGGTCCGAGGGCCCCGCAGGCGTGTGTCCCCAGGGCCCAAGCAGATCGGAGGCCCCTCCCCAGGGCTGTGCGGCCTTCAGACCACCAGTCCGACCCGCCACGAGTGTTCATCCGTGTGCCCGCCTGTCCCTGGCAGGACAAGGAGGGCACAGAGCGGCTGCTGTGTCTCTGCTTTCAGGGTAGAGACAGGAGGTAGCAGAGGGGGACGAAGACATCGCAAGGCCCAGAGCAGTCCGGTGTGCGGGGGGGTGGGGATAAGGCTGCCCCTCCCCGTTAATTAATCGCCCCACACGGAGTCACTGATCTTGTTCCGAAACTGATTTTCTTGGCCTCTTCTGGATGTTCTGGGGTTTAGGGGCATTTAGGGGGCTCTGTGACCAGCATGGGGGAGAGTCCCACACATACCAGAGCATGACAAGGCCTGAGAAGAGAGAGGCCCACAGGGCTCCCTGATTTGAGGCCACCTTGGGCAGCGATACCTGACTTCACTGTGTTCTGTATTCTGGTTCACACACAGAGGCACCGCCCCGGGCACAAGTGTGTGCCGAGACCCCCGGGGACAATAGCCAGCAGGAGCCGGGTGCAGATTAGGGAAGAGGGCACGGCTGTGCTCCGAGGCCTCAGGAGTCCCCCCTCGGATACTTCAGTATGTGGGATAGGGCCTCCCCAGCTAATCTGTTGTCTGAGGAGACCGTGAATACGCAGGGCTGGGGAAGACGTGGGGCAGAGGTTCCCTGGCCCAAACCCAGAAGCTTCCTGAAGGCACAAACTGTGCTTCATCCGCCTACGTGGCCCTTGGTGGCCCTGGCGGTGCCCGGTGCGAGGCCCTGATGGGTGGGGGCAGGGCCCTGGCAGGGGCAGTGCACCTACTCGTTGAACTGGTCCTTGGCGGCCTGCAGGGCGCTCCGGGGCTGGGGGTAGTTGGAGACCACGATGGAGGCCCGGGGGCCGCACAGCAGCTTGAACAGAAGGTTGTCGACGACAGCCAGCGCAGTGGCTGGGGAGTGGTACGCCTGGTTGTTGAACAGGGCAGTGACGACCGTCCGCTCGCCGACGTCTCCGAAGGACACGGCCACCAGGCACCGCTCGTTGAAGCCACCTCCCTCCACCGAAGCCCTGAAAACCAGGAACTCCTCCAGGTCACCTGGGGGGCGACAGAGGGTCAGGAGTGGACGACGGCCCCTGGGGCACGTGCCCGAGGCGCCCACTCTGAGGAGCTCGGAGGCCTGGAGGGGCCGTGGCAAGGAAACACCACCTTCTACTCTCGCGGAGCCCACGGGCCGGGGGGCCACGTCACGGGAGCGGCGGGGCCTGGGCGAGCGGGCACCCCGGGGCCACAGGAGGCCAAGTGGGAGGGCCACACTCCTCCTGCCCCCCAAATGCCTCCCGAGACTAAAGGGAGGCAGCCCTGGACCAGGGCCGGTGGGGCAGGGAGGAGGCCACTCCGGAGAGGGAGAGGCTCTAAGAGGCAGACCTGTGACCTCCTGTGGGGCGGCTGGGCAAGCCAGCGGGTAGGGGGCTGCCCTCGAGGGGCGAGATTAGACAGGACCTCCGCCTGTTTCTCTGGTTTTCCAGTTTTTATGGAATGAGTAAGTAACCTTTCGTAATCAGGAGAAAAAGGTGGTCTTTAAAAAGAGTGGCCTGGGGCGCCTGGGTGGCTCAGTCGGTTGAGCGTCCGACTTCGGCTCAGGTCACGATCTCGCGGTCCGTGAGTTCGAG